TATGAAGGATACCATTTAGAGAAATTCAAGACTTAAATAGATACTGTTAGTTAACTTCTTGTTAAAAATAAAAGAAATTTCCCCAAGTATATCATATTTATATATACACTGTTTATCTCCTTCTAGGAAAACAAAAGCTGTTCATTGGAATGAAAATTCTGAGTTTCATTTGTCCGTTAACTCAGTAATTGGTCGTATTCTCATATAATTGAACATTGAAGCTTTGTTCCCTTTCAAGAAATTATACTGGATAATGTGTATGTCTGTGATACACTATATGAAGGGCTTCTGAGTTGGGTAGGGAGAAGGAATTTGATGGTAGCTGTTGTAGTACAATATGACTAGGAAGTGCTGATGAGCAATAGAAGTTACAGTGTTAGGAAAGCAAGTTCTTTAAATCAGTCCTAATGGGGAAGTTCATCTGGACATCAACATCAGCCCTTCCCTGCCACTTAGCTCTCTCTCCTACAGAAAGCTGTCAGTTTCTTCCCTATTTGTATTCTCTTCCTGGTCCATACAAGAAATCCCATAGCTGTGAGAAGCCCTCCCTTCTTTGGCAGATCTCCATTTACCCCAAAAGGTGAGCATCTTCATTTGTTAGTGCTGTAAATACTGTTTCTTCTTTATTTTGTCCTTACCACCTTTAATGCTGCTGTTGATTTCTCTCTTTCCAATCAGATTTTTTTTTTTGTTCTTTCTGGCCATCTTCTATCATTGAACACTTTTCCTGCTTAGAAGCTGTAGTATAGAGTGATTTTTCAGATTGTCTCAAGTTTTCCATTAACAAGAATATAAGCTCGTATTTATGAATCACATAATTGATACCAGCTTCAAAGAAGCAAGCTAACTTAGCCTAGACCTTGCAGATCACCAGGGACAGTTTTGTCACCAGGGCATTGTGTAAACTGGGAAAATAAATAAAAGCGCCCTCTTTGGGTGGATGAAATACAAAAAGTTCCTCTCTAGGTGGATGAATTAGAAAAATGTCCCTCATCCAAAGTAAGGAAGCCTGGGAATGTGGCTTGAATGGGGACTGAATTTTAGTCCCATTTGACCATTGTTCAGGGTGTGGTACACAACTGCTTGCAGCAGCTTGAGTTGCCATGCCACCTGTTTTATTTTGTTTTGGTTTGTTTTTAAGAGCCATAGACTTGGTGGCTATCTCTTTGCATCACAATTTCCAAATTTTTGTTCCTAGGAGTTCTTAGAAATTCACCCTCTATACCTGTTATGCTGGTTTCCTTCCTCCCCCCCTACCTGCCTCTTATCCTCCCTCCCTCCCTTCCTCTCCCCCACCCTTCTTTATTTCTCAGCTCTATTGAGGTATAATTCAATGCCATAACATCCCTCCCATTGTAACATACAATTCAATAATTTTAAATAAAGTTACTGCTCATACAGATATCACTGCAGTCTAGTCCTAGGACATTTCCATCACCCCAAAAAGTTCTCTCATGCCCATTTGTAGTCAGTCAGTCAGTCAGTCAGTTTCTGCTTCCACCCCTAGCCCCAGGAAATCACTGACCTGCTTTCTATCTCTGTAGATTTGCCTTTTCTGGAAATCTCATATAAATGGGATTATATTTTCCTTTTGCTTTTTCTGTTAAACTAGTGTGGGTTTCACTCAATGCTCATTTGCAGTAGCTGGATGAGCTCTGTCACCTTCTACTGCTGCTGCCAGCCCTCACTCATCCCTTCCTTTCCATTCTGCCTCAGTATACAAACATACTCTTTACCTCCTGTCTTACAATACTCCCTCTTCCATCATCCCCTCCAGCCACCACCCATTTCTGAGCCCAACTTTTTACGACTTGATGTTATGTATGCTTTCTACTCTCTCCTCTCCCGTGAGCTCTCATTTGTGTGTGTGTGTGTGTGTCTTAAATATAGTAATTGATATGAATAAAATAACATTAAGAGAACACTATGCTTAATGAATATGTATATCTGCCATCTACTCCTTCCTTCGTAGTAGCATTACGAACAGTGGAACCCATGATTCAAAGTGTCCAAAATCTTTTACTCATATCTACAGTTACTTTGATCCTTTTTGGTCCTTTTAATTCCGCTTTTAAATAAGAAGTCTGGGCTAAATTTTCTTTAAAACCCATTACATGGCTAAATTTCTCTGATTACTATTGAGAGATTTATTTTTTACTTAGAAAATATTATAGAAGATTTATAGCTTGCTTTGTTGAATATTACTATATTTTATTATGAAGCCTCGACTAAGAGCATGACATACAATTATAACATTATTTCTATAGGAAATGTATTCTAATTGAATTAATTTGCTTCATTTTTTTTTCCTAAATTTTTGAAGCTAAAAGCTAGACTTCCTGTAATGTTGTTTTCTTCCTTTAAACTTTGGTTAGAATTCATTTAACCAATCCAGTTGTGCCCAAGGGAGGTGTGGATGTCCATATTTGTTTCAACTTAATACTGTGAATACTTAAATATTTAATTAACATAATACTTGACACTTAGAAGCAATTTATAATCATCAAAACTAGGCCTTTGTTTTCTTTTTTTATGCCTATTGTTTAGAGTTTTCTTGTAACATAGGTTAGGAATGGACTGGTGGAGAAGTGAAAAACAGGCCCCTCTCCTCCCCCGCCACCTCCAGGCAGAGAGAGTTATGCAGAGAGAGCATTGACTAGTGATGAATGTTTAGCATACTTGTCCTTACATTTGTTGATTTTCTAAATACATTTTTATAAAACATGTATTTCACTTGTGGAAGCCTGAAATATTTTCTTTCTTTCTATTATGTATTAATGTCATTAAAACAGTGAACACTTAAGAACAGACACTAGTTTTTCTTTGATCTTTATTTTATTTCATTAGTATACTTAAGAAATATTGTGAGTTTTTAATGAGTTACAAGTAGACCAAAGTGGGTGACCATATTTCTGTGGAGCTGGGCGTATGTCTGATAGGAAAACTATGGAAAGAGACTCTTCTGTTCTTCCTGACAGGAGAGGCCAAATGAGGATAAAGCTCTGTGTAGTGCTCTATGTGTCATAGGAAGATCCATGCCAGCCAAGTGGATTCCAGGGCTCAAGTCATCCCTGGACACTGGAAAGTTTCATGTGGGCGCAGATGTCATGACTCTAATGCACATGTTTCAGTTTTCCTTTAGTCTGAGAATTTCCAGCCATTGTCAAACACACATATTCTCCTTGTATTCTGAAAATGATTTATGCTTATGTGTTAGATTTTGTAAATCTGTATCTATTTGATTAAAGCCTTTGTGCTTTTTCTCCTACCTAAAATTAAAAAAACAAACAAACATATCTTCTATTTAATTGGGAGAGTGAAGATTTACTGACTCCACAGATGACCCAGCTGGAGGAAATGGATTGTATCACAGGCCCGTGGAATGTCTCATGGTTGTGCATATTTTGAAATACACACCACTGATTAGTGAGGCTCCGGATTACCAGATAGTGGGACTCATGTTTGTACACTAGGACTTGCACTGGTTTTCTCCAGTCCTCATTTACAGTACCAATTACCTTATTAAAAATCTTTCTTTAGCTTTAGTCTCCTTTTTCAATTACCACAAAGTCTGAAATAACAAGATTCAGTTCACTAAGGTTTGATTTTATATTTGTCTCTCGCCTTAATCATCATTGCATTTTGTTACAAATGATAAAAAATATACTGACTTCTTTTTTTTTTAATTGTACTTTAGGTTCTGGGGTACATGTGCAGATCATGAAGGATTGTTGCATAGGTACATACATGGCAAGGTGGTTTGCTGCCTTCATCCCCCTGTCACCTATATCTGGCATTTCTCCCCATGTTATCCCTCCCCAACCTCCCCACCCCTCCGCTGTCCCTACCCTAGCCCCCACAACAGACCCCAGTGTGTGATACTCCGCTCCCTGCATCCATGTGTTCTCTTTGTTCAGCACCTACCTATGAGTGAGAACATGCAGTGTTTGATTTTCTGTTCTTTTTTTAATTTTTTTATTGCATTTTAGGTTTTGGGGTACATGTGAAGAACATGGGAGATAGTTGCATAGGTACACACGTGGCAGTGTGATTTGCTGCCTTCCTCCCCTTCACCTATATCTGGCATTTCTCCCCATGCTATCACTCCCCAACTCCCCACCCCCCGCTGTCTCTCCCCTATTCCCCCCAACAGACCCCAGTGTGTAGTGCTCCCCTCCCTGTGTCCATGTGTTCTCATTGTTCAACACCCACCTATGAGTGAGAACATGCAGTGTTTGATTTTCTGTTCTTTTGTCAGTTTGCTGAGAATGATGGTTTCCAGATTCATCTGTGTCCCTACAAAGGACATGAACTCATTATTTTTTTATGGCTGCATAGTATTCTGTGGAGCATATGGTGCCACGTTTTCCTTGTCTGGTCTATTTTCGATGGGCATTTGGATTGGTTCCAGGTCTTTGCTTTTGTAAACAGTGCCACAGTGAACATACGTGTGCATGTGTCTTTATAATATCATATGGCCTTAGAAGGGATTTTGTTGAAATCTTAACTGCTGGGGATGAAGAAGGATAAAAAACAATTCCTCATGAACTACAGAGTGTGGTTAAGACCAGTGTTACTGGCCAAAAAGAAAGTTTGCTTTTATACCTTAGCTCTCTCCTATTAATCATGGTAATCAGACTGAAGTATTTAAGAGTTTACTTAATTGAGTTTTTTTAGTTGTGGAAGAGAAAACAAAGATGTTTTACATTTAAAAAAATTTAGAGGTATTACACTTTTCAAATCTTTAGTGTTTTTGTACACCTGAAAGATACTGTTTTATATTTGTGATGTTTCTTCTTTGCATTATGACAGATGCATTGATTGTATATTATTTTGTAAAGTTATTTTATTTCTCTGTTGCATTTTTTCCTATTAAAACTATACAGTCTTTTAGACGAACAGGGAGGACAGTGTCTCTATTCTCTCTTCACCGCCATCTTCGGTAGTTGTATGAAGGTGATGTTTTATGTGAGTAAGAATTTCTGTGTTTCATTTCACAGGTGGGGAGCACTAAGCGGGAAATGACCTTCACATTTCAGTCAGAGGACTTAAAACGTGACTGTAGTAAAAAAATGTCTCATCAACATGTGTTCTCCTTGGCCATGGAGGAAGATGTGAAAACAGCAGACACCAAAAAAGCCAGCCGGGTCCTTGACCATGAAAAAGAAAACACTCGCTCCATCTGTCTCCTTGAGCAAAAAAGAAAAGTTGTTTCCTCCAATATTGATGTTCCTCCAGCAAGGTAAGGGACACTAACCCTCACATGTATCTGCCCCAGGAGGTCGTGGAGAGCATGCATAACCTCTGCCGGTATACAGACTCTCTTCAGTGCATAGACATACGAAAGGTTTTCTGCCAAGAATTTGTTTCTATTGCTTGTGTAAAATAGAGCAGGTGGCCCTACTCTTCAAAACTGACTTTGAGGCTGCTGTAGTTGGAACTATTGTAGCTCTATAAAAGGATGTTTTATTCAGTTTTGATAAATGAATAATGAGCAAAGGAATACATGCAAAAAAAATAGATTGAAACATCATATATAGGGTTGAGCATACATTAAGTAGGACTGTAGCCACTTGAAAGCAAGTATACACAGATCTTTGGTCAGAGGTTGGTAAACTATGGCTACAGGCCACATTCAGCCTCTGGTCTGTTTTTGTGTGGCCTGTGAGATAAGAATGATTTTTCGTTTTTTGTTTTTTTTTTCTTTTCCCAAATAGAGATAGGGTCTGGTCCTGTCGCCCAAGCTGGAGTGCAGTGACGCAAATGTAGCTCACTGTGGCCTTGAACTCCTGGGCTCAAGCAGTCCTCCTGCCTCAGGATCTAGAATAGCTGGGCTGGGACCATGGGCACATGTAGCCATGCCCAGCTAATTATTTTTATTTTTCGTAGAGATGGAGTCTCACTGTGTCACCCAGGCAGGTCTTGAACTCCTGAGCTCAAGCAATTCTGCCACCTCAGCCTCCTAAAGTGCTGGGATTACAGGTGTGAGTCACTGTGCCTGGCCTGGTTTTACATTTTGAAAGGCCTAAAGGAAATGAAGAACAGGTGACACAGACCACGGGTGATCTGCAAAGTCTAAACTATGTAAAAAAATAATAATAATAAGTTGGTGATACCTGGTTTATATCATGATGATCTTTGTACGACAAATCTACCTTAAAACTCAACCAAGAGGGTTTATCTGAAATATCAAAAGGCCTTTGTCTTTCTAAAAACAAGCAAAAAAAAAGGCCTTTGTCACATTATAATTTTATTTAAACCACACCCAATAGCACTGAACCAAAGGACAATATTCTGGCAGAATGAGAGTGGCAGTGGTGGCGCAAACATATTAGACCTTTTACTTTCTTGCGTTTCAGTTGTCTCATCTAGAAAACAAGCTCTACGTCGGCAGGGATTTTAGATTACTCTGCTCATGCTTTGTCCCTAGGCCTGGAACAGTGCTTAATTTTGTTCTGGGGAGTGAATGAATATTTGTCAGGTGAAAAAAAGAAAGGAAATGCTGTAGCATGAGAGATTGCTTATTTGTACTATATGTGCCACATTTTCTTGCCAAAAATCATTTATAATGAAACTGACAACATATAGCAATTGTTTCAGAAGTCCTGCATTTGTCCAGGTGGTTTCTAACAGCTAACCAGGAAAACAGTACCTTTGGAAAAAGAATAAATGTGCCTTTCCTTGCCTGTTCACTTTTTGTAATTAAAGTTTTATTTCCTTCTATATTAAATCAAAAGTATCTTTTCTAGAAAATTATTGTTTTCTCCTGTTGCCAGATTTTTCAGACTTTCTAAAATCATAGGCCTCTTAGTTTTCCTTAACCTTTAATTGAAAATTTTCACATATTCATTACTTCTGTTTAACTGCTTGGGATTATTTGCTTTTCTAATTTTTTTCATATAAATACATGTTAATTTATTTAGGATTATTTCCTACTACTGGCATCTTTTCAAAACGTTTTATCATACCCTGACCCTCATAGCATCTCAATTTGTATTTGTTGTTTGGTTGACTCATAGGAAAATGGCATGTTAACAGTTTGCAATGTAAAGAGCTGTGCTTTCATTTTCTTCCTAAGCCTGTAGGGCAAAAGTTAGACTTCCAGTGTCAGTTTAGTACCAACTTGCAATTCTGTAGGACTTATTCTACTTAAAATTTTCAGTAGACCATTGTATATGTTAAAAGATCTGGAATTAATCATTTTAAATTTCCATAGGTTGCTTTAAGTGTACCTTTATTCTTTAATTCCACCTCACTTGGAGCACTTGCTGGGGAAAATAAAAGAGGAAGAAGAAAGATGTTTTCTGCCTTTTCTGACTCCAGTATGTGGGATATATTCCACCTTTTCAAATTCACTAAATGCACTTAAAAATACATGAGCCCATGCCAGTGTTATTGTGAGGTTCTTAAACAGTGTGAGAAAGTTAATTAGGTTTTTGTTTGTTTGTTTTTTGAGATGGAGTTTCGCTCGTTACCCAGGCTGGAGTGCAATGGCGCGATCTCGGCTCACCGCAACTCCACCTCCTGGGTTCAGGCAATTCTCCTGCCTCAGCCTCCCGAGTAGCTGGGATTACAAGCATGCGCCACCATGCCCAGCTAATTTTTTGTATTTTTTAGTAGAGACGGGGTTTCACCTTGTTGACCAGGATGGTCTCGATCTCTCGACCTCGTGATCCACCCGTCTCGGCCTCCCAAAGTGCTGGGATTACAGGCTTGAGCCACCGCGCCCAGCCAGTTAATTAGGTTTTAAATCCATTAATGTACAGCAAAAATCCCCCCGTGACAAGGTATAATTTAGATGTATTAATCTATTATAGGAAATACTACTTAGGCTTCATTGTTTGGTGTGTCTGCTAATATACTTGTTTTCATTGCTATAGTAAGAATTCTGTCATCATAAATACAGTATGCCAGCAGCTGGTGAGATACATTGCTTTTTTTAAAAAAAATGAAGGAATCAAGCATTGTGGATTATAATGATCTAACTCTCAAACTATTTCCATTTACTGTTACCAAGTTTGATAAATGTCAAACTTGCCACGGTCATCTGAATATATCAATATTTTGTTTTAAAGAAACTTCTTTACCTGATACAGTAGGAAGATACAGGATTTTCCTATTATTTACTAAGGAGAAATATATCTGTTGACAGTGTATAAATAACGAACTTTGAGTAAATCTACAGTATAATTAAGATATTACAAGGTATAAGGAAATCTATATACGATTGGCCCATGCATCCATGGGTTCTGCATCTGCGTATTCAACCAACCACAGATCAAAAATATCTGGAAAAAAAAGTCTATACCAAACATGTACAGACTTTATTTCCTGGTCTTTATTCCCTGAACAATACAGTATAACAACTATTTACATAGTGTTTACATTGTATTAGGTATTGTAAGTAATCCAGAGCTGCTTTAAAGTATACCAGAGGGTGTGCTAGGTTATATGTAAATACTACGACATTTTATATAAGAGACTTGAGCATCTGCTGATTTTTTTATCCATAAGGAGTCCTGGAACCAACCCCCCATGGATGCCGAGGAATATCTATATCTGTATCTTATAAAATATGTAAATGTTTAAATATATATATGATATTTTGGTCAATTTCTAAAAAGGCAGGATAATCATTTTAGGCTTACAGAGTGTAAAGTTCCCAATCACTGAAAATCAGTTCCCTGTAATGTTTCTCACTTTATCTTTTGCTTATTTCCATTAAAACTAAGATTTTTATTGAACTTTACTTTCTCTGGTTTGTAAAATGAAGTTTGTTTTCTGTGGTTTATATAAGTAGAAGCAATACACGTATTTCAATAGTTGCTTATTTCATGTAACATGAGAGATCTGGGAACCCCTTTCCACATTACTCTGTATGCCTCACCATAGTTTCACATCACTAATTTCATCTCCTGCCTCCATTCAAAAGATGTTTCTTGATTACCTGCTATGAACCCAGTACTCAGTAAAAGTAATGAGTGAGATAGGTGCCAGCCCTCCTGGAGGTTACGGTGGAATGAGAGGGACAGACACATATGTAGCTAATTTTAAATAACAGTTCCTGATTTGCTCCCTTCCCATTAGGAATGGAGGTAAGTTTGTAATTAAAGGAGAATCGTTTAGTATTAAGAAAGTTATCAATTTAATACATCTATTTAAAAGCCCAATTTTTTTATTGATGTCTTTTTCAAGATAGGGTTGATTGAAATAGAGAAGGAAGAACTCAATATCAATATAAAATCCCTATTTGTTTACCCAGTATTTGAGAACCAATTTTAAAGTTGCTAGTTTCAGAAAAATATAAATTTAAGTAAGTTATTAATCCAGATGTTTTAGGCTGGGACATTGGATAGGCAAATGCCAAGACAGGATTAAACGTGCAAATGTTTTAGTAGGAGACCCACCCGAGGGAGGAACGGGGTGGGAGGGATGAGGCCAGGAGGGAGATGCATGTCAGTTTAAGGTGCTAGTCTGAGTACAGTGATGGAGAGAGGGTAGGAGAGCTGGATGGAAGTGTCCTAGGTAGCCAGGCAAGGCCCTCAGGAGTCCTGCATTGGTATTCCTGCTGTGCCCCATCATTTGGTGGGAGCAGCATGTGGGAGCTGTGTCCTTGACACAAATGCAGCAGATGGTTTCAGCAGCTAGCAGCCCGGCCCTTGGTCAGTTAGCTCCCTGTTATTGGAGATCTATGAGGTGCGTTCTCATGGCTGCCTTCCTCCCACCCCACAACATTGCACTTTATATATTAAAAGTGCCCTAGACAGTGCAGGCTTAAGACACGGGCCAATCTCCCTGCCCTTTGGCAGCCTGAGTGATCAGTGCAGACTCCTTGGAATCCTCATTAAGAGGGCCCTAAGCTTCCTGTGAAAAATGGCAACTGATTGTTGGTCCTAGGATCCTAGAATTAATTCTTTTGAGTCATGAGAGGAAAGAATACAAACTCCCCCTCTTCTGAGTTTCCTGGTCCTGGGGTTGGTAGGAACAAATCTTTACTGTAGGAGAGTCTGCTTACTCCTGGGGTATTGCTTGCTTGATTTCAAGGAGAAAACACTACTTTCTTTTCTGAGGGTAACTTGGAGTAAGTGCATTACAGAGTTGGGTATTCAAAGTATTCAACTTTCTTTAGTAGAGAAAACTAAACAGAAAGAGAGGGCAGGAGCCTGTGGGAGCACATGAGTGAGCAGTGTTTCTCTTTGGAATTAAAGATCTTTCATTAACAGAAAGAAAATTTATTCCCAG